GGGTTAAACTCTCAGAGTCACTGGGCCAAATTCTTTTCTCATTCGCTCCCAGTGTGAATCAGGAGCAACCGCACTGGAGTCCCTGGGCCTGATCCTCCTCTCGCTCACCCTTGGTTATACAAGGAGTAAACTCCACTGACGTCAACAATCAGAATCAAACCTAGGCTGCACACACTGATTTAACCAAAATTCGGTTTGAAATAAATGTAGTTAAACTGGTGCAAACTCCTGGGTGGGCGCTCTTAAAGCGGTTTACAACTGCCTTTTATCAATTTAGTTTAATTCTATTGCTGAATTAAGCTTAATCGAGAGAAGCTAGGTGTAGACAAGGCCCTGTTGGGAGTTCAGACTGAGCACTGACTAGATGAAAACTGAGTAAGGGCTTCAGGAACTGGCTATGTACAGGGGCCTAGTGTAATTGTCAAAAGTGCCTAGAAGGTTAGGTGCTCTGTAAACCCCAGTGGATGCCTAGTTGCATCTTTGGGTGCCTAAAAACCTTTGAAACTCTGTCCTGAAGGCACTGGCCTGAGGTCAGACATGAAGTCCATGTGGGAAGCAGAACCTGTTTAAAACTCTAGTGTAGATCGGTCGCATTGTATTTCAACATGTGTTAGCTGGTCAAGGTGAACCATAGGCTACCCCCAGCTAGCACATGTTAAAATGCAATTTGCCCTGTCTGCATTGGCATGTTAAGACGTGTTAGTTGTCAAGTTTTAAACACATCACTTTTATTCAGCATTGCCAGCCCCAAGGATTCAAAAACACTAAGGCCGGCCTCCAAAAATCCTGGGATTAATAATAATACATGGTGGGTTCTTTCTTTGCCTTCTGGTTTTTGAGCCTTTAGCAGTCACATGCAGTCGCGGAGGGCTAGAAATTTACTTTTTCTTTTCAAATGAGAGCTGACATTCTGTCATCACTTGCCACCAGGAGCTGTAGCTGTAAGAAAAACACTAAATATCAAAAGACTTATGATGTTATCATGAAAGTTGGCAATACTGACAGGCCCAGACAGAGCTACTTTATGTGGTGGTGGGTTAAACAAACTCAGCAATGATCAGACTTAGCACATACCTCTCACGAATCTGGCCCACTAATGAATAAGTCCTCACAACATAGCAGTGGGCTAGGTCATTACCACCATCCCCATTTTACAGACTGGAAAACTGAGGAACAGCAAGTTTATGTTGTGTCAGGCCACACTGGGAGTAGGAGGCAGCACCTGCATTAAAATGTGGGCATGCCCAGTTCCTCCAAAAAAGATACACATTCCCAGACTCTCAACTCTGAAAACCTTCTAAGCGTCCTCTTAGTTTGCTCCCTGTGGTTGTATTATACATTTGTTAAATGCTTTAGGACGGGCTATTTACTTTGTTCTGCAGTTTTAGAATCTTTCTGCATCTGATTTCCTTGAACCTTTCCTAGAAAATCTATCTTGGGTTTTGTTTTTGTTTTTTTACTGCTGCCATCCCTGTAATATCACATCTTCTTCGGCATGTGGAAATAACAAGTGGACTTAACGGGGTCTTTTCCCTTTTTGGAGTCCAGAAACTCAACTGAATGGAAAAATAACCTTGCCTTAAGTAGACTGCTTGAGTTATACATTTGTTTGGGGTCTTTTTGTTTTTATTTATTGTTTAAATATCAGTGAAGTTACAACAAGAACTTACACCTGTATGGTCTTAGGTACCCACAGCGTTGGGAGTAGCAAGATACATATCCCCTTCCCTAGGCAGAGGAGGATCATTTCTTTCTACCATAGTGGTTCCCAAACTGGGGTTTGTGAAATGTTACAGGGGGTTCTCAAGAAAAAAATCCCTAACGGCGGACAAAGCCGTCCCTAGGGACCCGGGCAGTGTGGGGCTGGCAGCTTGAAGCCCCAGGGACTTCCAAGAGCTAAGCAGATCAAAGCAAGTGTATCCATCACACTGAGGAGATTTAAACTTCAAGCCTCCTTATAAGAAATGGAAAGGGAGGGGGATATTTTTTGCTGTTTTTAAAATTATGATGAAGAACACGTTTAAGCTTTGTTGCAACATGTGTTGTTTGCCTGGACTGCTCAAGACCCCAATGCTTATGTAGGAGGAACTCTTTATCTGAGTTGGCTTCTTAAATACCTTCATACTGTTTCACATCTGATACTCCTTGGGTGCTAGGGTGACCAGATGTCCCGATTTTATAGGGACAGTCCCAATTTTTGGATCTTTTTCTTATATAAGGTGGGCTTTTGAGAAGCACAAACCCCTGTTGAAAGGCAGCAAGACTGGGGCACCTGACTGACTTCCAGTTGGTCCAGTGAAGTCATAGCTGGAGGCAAACTGCTGGGTTTAGAGGAGAAGGAAAGAGGGCAAATTCCAAATAACTGGCCTGAGTGTGTGAAAAGGAAGCAACTCCCTCACAGCCGGATCTCAGCTGGGGCAGGGACTGTCTCTGACCCTGTGGGGCATGGATCTGTTTGGACCTCTAGGTGCTACTGCAGTGTAAATGTTTAACCTCCCCTCCGAAAACATCCTGGGGAGGGGAGGGGACACTGGATTTTTGTTTACAACTTTCTAGAAAGATTTTTGAAGCAGGGAGAGGAAAGAGGCGTAGTGGTTTCTCAACCAGTTAGCTTAGGCCGCTCTGCTCACTCCTAACTTTAAGAAGCTGGTAACCCAATTCTATCTTCACTTACCTCAACAAGACAAAAGCTGGAGGTGGGGGTTAAAACTTGTGCTCTAAAATAAATACTGTTACCCATTTTGATCTGAGCAGCTCGTCAAAAATGTAGGATGGGTAGATTGTCCCAGTTCAGAGACATTGGTGAGAGGCTGGTATTTATACGATACAGGTTTGTTTATTTACGAAGACCGTACAAAGGCCGTTTCCCTTGACACCGAAGGAATCAGATACCAGGAAACCGCTTCTTTTGCTCACGGCACCAAGACTGCACTTTTCAGCCTGCACCTCTGACCCCCAAATTCTCTCCCCAGGCTCAGAGGCTGTGCGTTCAGCCGCTCCTTCCAGCTTCGGGCAGCTCTGTAGTCCTCTGTGTTTTGCACCCCCCCACCCCCCAAATACTTGGCAAAGCTCCCCCACCCATTCAGTGCAATAGGCCCAGGCAGGCTCACATACTGTCTGGGGTGGGCGGTTTGCAATCGACTTATCCTGACAGTTATCTTAATTGAAAGGTGCATTCACACCCATCAGTCTCAATGAGGTTTGTGCCGTCACCTCTCAGCATAACGCTACTTTCCAGGCATCAGTAATCTCAACACAATGCTACAATTGAAGTTACCTTGTGTGACAGGTTCCCCCTGGGCTGCCACTGAGCCCCCCGACCCACCAGCCTGGGCCTGCACTTTACCAGCCCACATACCGATAGGGACAGCCCCAGTTGCAGTTACATACAGACGCTGGGATCAGCTCTGCATGGGGAGGCACAGCTAGGGCACCTCCCAGTTCCTAAGGCACACAGCTCCTCGGCAGTGTAAAGCCAAGGTTAGACCATCTCGTGCTGCACAGAGAACTGTACAGCGTAAGCTCATGAAATTCACCCCCTCCCTCAACGCGGAGAGGGAACAACAGCTTTCTGCCCAGAGTTAGGACTTCCACACACTGGGTTTAGACAAAACAAAAACAAGTTTATTAACTACAACAGCTAGATTTTGAATAGCAAATTCTCATCCTAAGAGATGATACAAGCAGCCTGCAGATTCTTAAGGGACCAGCTGCACTAACGTACAGCCTGGAATCCCCAGCTGTTTCGTTCACAGGCTAAGAATCCCTTTAGCTTGGGTCCAGCACTTCCCCCAGTTCAGTTTTTGTTCCTCAGGTGTTACTGAGAGTCGCTTTGGGTGGGGAGTCAGTGAAGAACCACGATGAGGTCACTCCCCTGCCTTAAATAGCTTTTGCATATGGCAGGAATCCTTTGTCTCAAAGCTGGGTTCCCACGCCAGTCAGTGGGGGAATAAAAACACTGGGATTTCAGAATGAAGTCCAGCACCAGGTGACCTGGTCACATGACCCTGTAGTATCATAGCAGCTATGAGTCAGAGGTTTTTTACAGCATCCTCAAGAAGACTTCCTGGTGGGAGATCAGCTTCTTCTAAGGCCTGTTTTCTCCTAATGACTCATCAACCTGAATGGGCCCTTCCCAGGTGTAAACACATTTGTAATAAGATAGACAATCAGTATTCCTAACTTCAGATACAAAAATGATACATGACTACAAATAGGATAATCCCCTTCATTACATAATAACCTTTCCAATGGTCTCACATGACCTATCCTGAATAAAATACATCAGAATTATGCCCTAATCAGATGTCCAGACCCAACAATAATGCTGGATACTTCATTTACAGCAGTGGTCACCAGCCGATCACAATCACAAAGTCTGGTAGTACAGCATGGCTGCCGCTAAGGCAGGCTCCCTGCCTATCCTGGCCCACACCGCTCCTGAAAGCGGCCAGTGGGGCAGGGGTCTCCCTCTGCACACTGCTCCTGCCTGCAAGCACCACCCCTGTGGCCAGGAGAGCTGCAGGGGTGGTGCTTGCAGAGGGGGCAGAGCACAGGGCCACGTGCCCGCCATTCCCCCCAGGGCCACGTTGGCCCCTTCTGGGAGCGGTGTCTGGCCAGGGTAGGCAGGGAGCCTGCCTTAGCCTCGCTGCGCCCACCACTGACCAGGAGCCGTCGGAGGAAAGTGCTGCCACGCAGGAGGCCGCACCCCAACCCCCTCCCAGAGCCAGCACCCCAACCCCTCTCCTGCTGCACCCCAACCCCCTTCCCCAGCCCTGAGCCCCCTCCCAGAGCCAGCACCCCTCATCCTCTTCTACACCCCAACCCCCTGCCCCAGGCTCAGCCCAGAGCCCCCTCCCACACTGCCAACCCCTCGGCCCCAGCCCAGAGACCGCACCCCCTCCCGAACCCCAACCGGGTGAAAGTAAGTGAGGGTGGGGGAGAGTGAGCGAGCGACAGAGGCAGGGGGATGGAGTGAGCGGGGTACATCCAGGGTTGCCTTTAGATTCAAAAAGTGATCTTGGGCATAAAAAGGTTGGAGACCACTGACTTACAACATTAGTCCGGAAACAGCCCATTATAAATCCTGTGCAAAAAGGGGCCGCCAGAAACGTCTAGCTTAGTGATACCAATAGCATAATGAAGTCAATCTCAGTTTACAAAGTTTTAAAAACAAAACTGAAGAGGAGTCCCTGGGTCAGCGTTAAAACGGTCACGACAAAGCGCGCCGGTCTTTGTACCCACCATAAACACTCTCGCTGGCCATTGCACAAACAGGACAGCACGTCTGGAGAGTCTGCACCTAGGATAGTAGCACACAGTGATTCCAGCTTTCCAGGGAAGTCTGGCAGGATAGTGCAGATGAAGAGGCAGCGTCTGCACTAAAGATGCTCCCGGTTCTACAAGAGGCTAAGACGCCCCCCGCATTGCTACTATTTGCAAGTTGCTGCCAGGTGTCTCCCTCGCTCGGCCCTTTGTACCTCGTGCCCGGCTTCCTTTCTGCAATTCCCGCCTTCGTTCTCCTGGCATGCCAGCGTCACCCGCTTCCTGCCAATCTCCCCTGGAAGCTCACCGCTGTGCAGCCCGCCCTGGTAGACGCGCTCGAGCTCTTCAATCCCGCATCAATAAAAATAACGCTCCCACGACAGAGCCATCCTCTGGGCCACTCGGTGCACTTCGGGTTGGTCTCAGGATTATCAGCAGCACGAGACCAGAACGGTTTTCAGCAGCAGCTAGTAAGGTGCAGAGGTAGGAAATGGACGATTGCCTGGTTATCCAAAGCCACCTCTCAGCTTCCCGTTCTTCCCAAAACCAAATATCTGAGGTTTTGAGGTCACAAGGGACCGCTATGACCATCTGGCCTGACCTGCTTAACACAGGGCAGAGAAGCTCACCCAGTGATTCCCGCGTTGAGCCCAGTAACTTAGGCTCTAGTTCAGTGTATATGTTTCCAGTTGATCTCCTCCCCCCTCAAAACAGGGGAGGGGCTGGTATGACTCATGGTATCGTCGAGTCATTCTTGACCAGAGATTGCCGTCCTGCAAAACATTCCAAGGCCCCCAGCTCAGAGACACTAAGGCAGTGGTCCCCAACCCTTTTTGTCTGGCGGGCGCCAAACGGACAAGCATCCGCCGAAATGCCGCCAAGCAGCGGCAACGTCAATAGGCGTCGCCGCCGCCAAGCGGCGTCATCCACCGAAATGCCGCCCATTTTCGGACGCTGCTTCTGTCCTAGTGCAACGCTGTCAGCGGCTGGGATCTCTTGAGCCTTTACTGCCTGAACTAACAGGCACTTCTCTGAGCTGCGGCTGCAGCAGGCTCGTCTAGCGCCGTAGCACAGACCAGGCCTACGACTGGAAGCTCAGGTAAGCAGGGGGCTCCATTACAGCTGTGGCAGTGATTTCGCGGCACGGAGGTGGCTCAATGGGAAGAGGAGATCAAAACCGCTCCCTGAAAGGTGGCCCAGAGTTTGGTCCTTATTTGCCTGTCTCGGTGCCCAGACGTACCACAGGAAGTGGCCTCAGGTGAGAACCGGCTGGTTCAGGAATCCCCAGTTCGTCCAGTCCAGTCTCCTGTCTAAGTGGCCGGTAGCAGCCGCTTCAGAGGAAAGTGCAGGTCACCTAACGGACGATGAGATCACTCATCCATTAGGGACAGTTTACTCCCAAGGACAGGGATCTTAGGCCCTGAAGCAGAAGTGTCTGGCCCAGCTCAGATGCTTTTTGGTTTAGTCCATTAGCCAGAGAAACGTCCGAGCCCAGCGCCGTGCTAAACGTTTACACACACGTGGGGTTTGCTGCAGATCCAGTGTCTCTCCATAGAGCACCGCGAGGAGCTGATGGCTTTCGCTTCCTTCAGATACGCGCACTCCCCTCCCCCTCCGATGTGAAACCTGCAGGGAAGGAGCAAAGGGACTGTCAGCAACGGGGAATGAGCAGTGGGTTCCCAGTCACCCAGGAGGGTCACAGCACACAGAGAAACACAGACAGTCATACCGCACGCCAAGGGAGGTAACCGGGATTACCCCCATAGCACAGATGGGGAAGTGGAGGCGCAGAGGTAAAGAAGGGACCTGTCCCGGGCACCACAGCATTTAGTGACAAAGCTGGGATCAGAACCCAGGTCTCCCGATTCCCTGTCCCCTGCTCTAGCCGCTGGCCCACGCTGGCTCTTAAGGGGAGGCTCCTTCAACCGCAGGGTGAACATTCATCTGCTCCCCTACAAAAGCAGCTAAGACCCACAGCAGAAGACTGGTGCAGAGGGAACCAACATCTCCCAGCCCCATGAAGCCCCAGGGGCAGGGGGTTGAGATCTCTGAAGGCAGAGAGAATCAGCACTGCGCAGGACTCGGATCCGAGAGCCCAGATCCCCCATGGCTCCCCACAGAGGGTAGCGCTGGAGGTGGGGCTGGACGCAGACATGGGGAGCACGTTGAGATCATACAAGACTCGGGTCTCCCTGGTCAGCGACGAGTCCCAGCTCGGTCCGAGTCCGACACGTCAAGCGCCCATGACCCAGCTCTCGGGGAGAGGGGAGAACTCACCAGCTGTTGAATTCAGTGCCATTCACCCATCTCCAGAGCTGGTTCGTGTCCTTCTGGAGGCCGAGCCAGTGGTCACGGTGGCCTCTGTAGCGCAGCATGAAGTCCTTCAACCAGAGCAGCAGAAAACCTACATGACACGCCTGACAGAGCTCCCTGAGCTGGGTTTGAGTCTACGGGACGACAGATGGGGCAGCCCCGCGCCCCATCCAGCAAACGCGTCCTGTGCAGCGTCTGCCACCGGCTGCAGTCAGCCCACGGCTTGGAAGAGATTCTTCTAAAGTGACATGATCTGGGGACCCCTGACCCTTCCCAGAGCCCCAGCTGTCAGAGGGCGGGTGCTCAGCCCTTTGTGATGATCAGCTCTACTTGGGGGGGGTCTCACCTGGGCTCCCACATTCCTTGTCACGTCAGAAACACCTGGATGTAGCTTAAGAGCCACAGGACACCGGGTGCTCCAGGGATAAGGTGAGGCCCAGGGGAAGTAGCAGGGCTGGGGCTCAGGGAATGAGTAGGGCAGGGAGCTGTGACAGCTCAAGCCAGAGGGGATGGATGGGGAGACGGGGGGGGGGGCTGGGAGCTCAGAGTTGACAGGGAAGCCGTGTCTGAGATGGGTTGAGTCTCACAAGTTGCTGCTGAGAGTTTGGAAGCCGAACGCCCTCAGAACAGGCACGTCTGGAACCGCTGACCCCCCGCCCCCGGGAAACTGCTGAGCTGTCCGTGGAGACAGCCCAGCCTTTCCCAGCAGCCCCTGGGGCGGAGGTCAGCCCTGAGTCACGGAGGCAGGTTTCAGACTGCAGCCTGGCAGCGTCTCACTGTCGGAGGTGGGAGTGGAGCAGAGTTTGGGGAATGGAGGCAGACGGGCAGCCTGTCACAGGGAGGGAGCTGGAGCAGAGCCGGCTGTGCCCACGGAAGTGGGACATCTGCCTGGGACAGGGACGGTTAGATCGGCACCGGGCTGGGACCCATCCGGCCAGCTCCCAACCCACTCCCCAGGGTCTGAGCCCTGGCACCGTTCCAGCACCAGGCCACACCCGGCCTGTTGCTGCTCCACAAACTCACCATGTCCTGCTGGGTGTCGATCCCAGCCAGGGAGGTGCCCAGTGCAGAGCAGTTGCTCCGGCTGTAGGTCCAGTTCCCTTCAGTCACTGAGAAATAATAGCATTGCCCTTGGAACGCGACCCAGCCATTGGGGCAGGCCACAGGTGCCCTTGATAGCACCCCTGGAAACGAGAGAGAACAGGGTGAGTCTGTCCCGGTCTCTTTCCCTGCCCTGCCCCCCCAGGGGAGCAGCCCCTCAGGCACAGCCCCCACCCCCCCAGTCTGAGTAGTGAGCAGGGACCCCATATCCGAGCGAGAGACTCTAAGCCCAAGACAGATCCCGCCCCCTCCCTGATTGGCATAGCGGGGACATGCACTGACCCGCCCTATGGACTGGGAGGCAGGACTCCTGGGTTCTGATCCCCCCCACCCTGCAGTACCATCCCCCATGTGGCCCCTCTGTAGAAGGGGACAGTCGCCTGCCACCCCTGGGGCTGAGCGAGGTGATGGCCGGACAGCGCTCAGAGAGTTCACTGAGCAACGGGGAATTCACTTGGGTCAGTCCCATCCTCTCACTTTATCCCGGGGGGCCTGGCAATACAGTAGGGGAGGGGCTGGCTCCAGGTCACAGGGAGTCAGTGGCCAAGCTGCGATTCGAACCCAGGAGTCCTGGCCAGTCCTTCGCTCACACCGCACCCCTCCCGAGTGCAGGGGGCTCACACAGGTGTCGGTTACGGCGCTTCTGTAAGATGAATTTCAGGGGCGCGCTCAGCCCGTGGCACTAACCGGGTTCTGAGAGGTGGGAACTTGAGAACCCGGCCCAGGGTGGCGCCAGCACCTCAGCCATGGAAAGCTGCTTCTGTGAGCAGCAGGGCCCTGTAGATCTCCTCGTCCGCCCAGACAGAGCAGCGGGAAACAGGGAGTTCGAGCCACCCGAGTAGCCAGGGCAGGGACGGGGCCTGGGCACAGTCTCCAGCGACGGCTGGCAAAAATCCAGCAGTTTGGCTCTGCAGCAGTCTGCCCCAGATGGCTGGGCCTGGGCACAGGCAGGCGCTGCCGTCACTTGCGTAGGCCAAGCTCAGACCTGGGTGCAGCGTAGATGCCTAGACAGAGGCATGAACCCCTGGCCCACCCTTCCTATTCACAGGGCTTTTAGCATGCGTGTGCACGCCCCCCCCCCATCATAGCAGCACCTGAGCTTCCCCCAAGCACAGATCAATTTTAGCCTCACATTTCCCCCCTGCCCTGTGAGGCAAGGAAGTCTCATTATCCCTGTGACAGTGTACCCCA